ATGTGGAATTCAAAAAAAGTTTATTCTAACGGGGTTTTCGGATTAACGGGTTGCGGATTATCGGGGTTTGCCTTGTATACAGTGTTTAGTGTGTCAAAATAATTGTGATCAAAAAATTGAGCCAACACAATATTTACTGAGCCAAAAAGATTTTAAATTTGATATATTATATTTTCATATAAAATTCTATTATTACTAGACTGACTTAATCATATTAACTGCGTGCTGATGATGGAAGTGCTACCATTTGCCATTAAAAAGTTGCTTTAACTCTTCAATATTTTGGTAATGGCCTTAAATATGTAAGGGATAGGTTGGAGAGAAAACGGGTTAACGGCCGCGGCGTGCGAAACAAACACGAGACATTTCTTATTTGCATGCGAGCTTTTGATTGGTGTTTAAATCAATTCACTATTACTATTGTTTTTTTGCAATAGTTCAGAAAGTTGATATCTTGCCAGCTTCCATTTCTAGTAATTATATATTTTGGACTGCAGATAAAAGTTGGGTTTGTAGAGAGACACCTTCCCATGCAAACCATATTTATTCTTGAGACACGCTGTAGCTGGTATTGTCCCTGACGGGTCAAAAGTATATGAAATAGCACTTGCTCCTGCTGGTTTCACAATAGCTACGCGAAATAATCGACGTTACAATAACCTGCCTCGTGATTTTCAATGTATTTTTGCCTGTGAGCTGTTGGTCGTTCCATGTAGGACATAACCATTCTCCAGAGACTACCGTGGTATTGTTACTAAGCGGTATTACGTGCAATTAGAACAGAAGCCTAATGTCAGTCCCTTTCTTTTAGATATTCACTTATAACTATATCATTAATTTATTGAATTTGATGTTATATATGTACTATGTGTTGTGATACTACTCGTATCACACATGCCGTTAGAGTGTGGCCAACGAACAAAACGCAAACAGTGTAAAACCGAACATTTGTTATAATTGTATTGGCCAAGGAACATCTCACTAGTTAGCGGAATAATAAGAATACTAATTCATTACATGCGTCTATGCTTTACAGTGTTATTGTTCCATAAAATCTCTTGGTTTATCGTAGTCGATAGTGCTCAACCACTTCCATTCACCCTTGTGATTGGCTAAAGAGCAAATAATATAATATCAGAATATTATATGAAAATCTAATTGTTGCCACAACTCCAACTTACCTTTCCATAAACGCACTTTCCCGTCGTCACCAGATGAAGCTAAAATAGTACCCGTTATATTCCATTCCACACGCCACACCTGTTTATGGACAAGAAGTCGAACAAACAATTGAACAAACAGTGGACATTGGATTAAGAAACCAGTTCTTTCACAAGTAATAATCGCCATACCTCAGCACCATGATCAGAGAATTCTGCAACATTGCTGACGTTAAAATATCCCGACTCTGCCGGTGTCAGCTTGTATATTCTGACAAAATGATCTTTCGACGCAGTTGCGATGAGTTGATAACTCCTGTAACATAACCGATTCATTCAATAACGCGTTTAATATATCTAAAAAAAGAATTGTATTCATATCCAACTGTATACCTTCCCATTGCGGGGGCCCAACTAATGTCGTGTATGGTATCTTTATGGCCATACAACGTTATAATGGCAGCCCAGTTATTTATCGCATTCTGTTTATATATCTACAAAACAATTTTACTACGTTTGTTATACGTCATCCGACCACAATGCATTCTCACAAATGATGATATGAACAACTCACCCGTGCTTCTTTTCCACAACCAACAGCAATCATTGATGCATGAAATCGGGATGGACACCATGATATACAGTAGTTACCTTCCGCTTCCTTCATATGGATACTACCAGATACATTAAACTCCTCTAGGAGCGTCCATTTCTTTAAGTTCGTAACTTCCATTGCTTCGTATATTCTTATCGATCCATCTGCTGCTACGGCGGCCTAAAAAATGTGTTAACAGGTTAATAAAATTCATAAAGTAGACTGATCGAATCACTAACAATTGCTGACAGAATTACCAATTTTAATCCAAGTGCATTCGGAGCAAACTCTATATCCTGTACGGCGCTTTTACTCTCTGGTAGTCGAGCCCTCATTCCAAAACGGTTGTCGCTATTCTTTGGCTCTATTTGAAACCAAGTTCTCTAATTAATCGACACCGCCTATCAATACATAAGCGAATCCCCAACCAATCAACAAAATAAGGGATAATCTACCATATTCTTGTTCCTCCCATATGCGAACCGTACGGTCAAAGGAACAAGAGGCTATGACTTGACCGTACTCAGGGTGGGCCCAAGCGACGCGAAGTATTGATCCATCATGAGCCTATAAACCATATAACCAGTCAATGTCTCGATAAAATTTGCCAGTCTATCCTATCTCTCAGACTCTGTCCACTTCAGCCATGTACCTTCCAAGTAGCGACGTCTTCCCAAACACCTGTCTCCTCTACAAATTCCCGGACTTTCAAACGTTGATCTGAAGAGCAAGTAACAAGTCGCTTACCATAAAAATCATAAGCGACATCGTGAATTAGATCCTCATGCCCTGCGTCAAAGCTAGTCATTGTTGATTAGATTTCAAAAATGCCCGCGGAAGATGACTTTAATTTAGCGCGGAATTGATATATCACGTGCTGGATTAAAATCTCCGGAGATTGTCAAGTGCTACAGATTTCTGTGTTACAAACTATTGTATCTAATATTAAAGACCAGGACAGATTAATATTAAGATGGCTTGGGAGACATTAAATTAGGCATCAATGATTAAGTGTTTGCTCCCGGTACAACAGCTAGCGTTCGGAGGTCACAGGACCATAACTACGTACGGTATTCATATAGAATACTTCACTTGGTTAATATTAATGAGCGGATGAAATTATTTTAATTAGTCTGCATACTAATAGTGTTTATATTTATTAGCTTTGTTATTAACTTATTAATTTGGTTTCTAAGCGTAAAAAAGGGGAGGGAAGAGTCAAACCGGATATGTCGGCTGTCAGAAGAGTATTTATCGAAAGCGCGATTTGATCTAGAATTTGTTAAAACATTCTATTCGAAGTCTGTGATATTGATTTACTATATATACAAATATTACCCATTGGAAAAGCTAATTTATTCTTCGTGATCTTAAAGATCCGTTCGCGCGCGTCTTGGGTACTTTGGGTACTTGTTGCGATGGATAGTAAAAGTGTGCGGCCGTATCTTCAAGCCTGTTCTTCACCCATTCAAATGCGTCCTTTGATTTGTTAGACCACCAAACATCAAGATGGCCATGACCCTTTACTTCTTTTCTATCATACAAGTCTATCCCATTGACATGTATCAAGAGATCATACGATCGTTTGGTTGATTCGGTGTCAAATCTAGAGTAAACAATAATAGATACCATTAGTCGTGGATCACAATTTCCTCAGTCGCTTATACTTATTAATAATGCTTACACTGCATTCTTCTCTCCATAAATAAACGCAATGGGAAAATTGAGTTTATCTTTAATATTCTTCTCGGTAACGTAAATGTCTTCCCCGTTTGCTTTCACGAGTTTCTCTTTCTTGAGCACCAATGACGCGTGTGCCATGGTTGTGATGTTAACAGTTCCGAAGAATACATGTTGATCATCATGAATATGTTCATTGAGATTTTCATGCCTGTACAACGGGCCATAGCAAAATGTAGCTCGATGACATAACGCGCTACGACAATATTGTCCCCTCCCAAATGGGAGAAAACGGAAAACGAAATCCAAGAATCTGTTCAATATGTTGGTATCACGCGACGTTCGCACGTCGAAGAATTTTTGTCCTAATAAACCCCGGAAGACGGAGAGTAATCCGGTAGCATTTTTAATTCTGTTGAAAAGACTAGGAATTGGATGCATCCCCTTGGAAACAATTCATCATAGGAGAGAAAGGTATACGGTGTCAGATCAAATAAACAAACGCAACAAACATACAAGCCAAGTAAATTAAATCAAATCAAACAAAAAAATAGATTACTCTGATTATCGAAAATACCATCAGTTAAGACTACTTACCACTTGTGAGGCAATGAATGTTCCCACACCCTCGATTTCGCCAGTCAGCAATCCCATAAACGTAGCCATTGATCCTAAACAATGACTAATAACTCCAATATTATCCACTTTACACACCTCTCGAACTTTGTTCACGCCCGCAGCAATGTCTAAAGCCAAGTCATCTAACGTATGTTGCTCTTGAGAAGCCCCGATGGTTGGTGACAATCGATAGTCTATCAACCATACATCATAGTCGTTCTCGAGCAAGTAATCGCACAAATTGCTTTTCTGGAGATCAGTAGTCCACATCTCATGTGTCATGGCCGCTCCATGAACCTACAAAAAACATACGAGAATAATGTCACCTATTTACGGAAATAATAATAAACCCACAGCTTCATGAACTCATCAATGTTTGAAGGATTGAATCATTTACCAGAAGAACAGGTGCTTTCCAATTACGACCATGCAGTCTATATCTACGTAGTTTACCGACTACTCCATCTTTTGCCGTGAATGTATAGGATTCCTCAATTCTATCCTGCAATGAATATGGTTTCACGGTGTTGTATACCGGAATACGGTCTCCAGGATATTCGAGTGGAAGAAATGCGGGGATATAGTGGTCTAAAAAGTGCGTGAGGAAGTACTTCACAAATGTAAAATAAGTCACCAGTTTTGATGAATTTGTCTCGCCGGTAGCCTAAAAATTTATAAAACAAAGAAAATTATAAGTATGAAAACAAAAATTTTCAAATCTAAAGAGAATGCTAACCTTTAGCGTAGTCAGTTGATCGAGGAAATTGCATACTCCGATTCTCAGAACCCCCAACCCAACAATTTTCCTCGGTTCTTTAAATGTCTTCACGGTGACATACAAAGTTGATGTCTGTTTCCAAGCGTTACATATATTGGAATTCTTTACAAATTTAAACCCTTCAAATTTGTATCGCTTCCCGTCTGTATCTACTAGATCCATGCTGTACATCATTCGAGCGCTGTCAACGTAATTGTTGTCATCAACGTGAATACGGAATTTGCCACTAGTCACCATTAGAGGATCCGGAGACAGAGCACGACATGAAATCGTTCCTACGATATCAGCCGCCTCGTTATCAATGTTGTGTAAAGTGTTGTAATCGTATGCAATGATGGTCAGAAGGAATTGCATTCTAGATTCGGATGACCGGGCTTGGTCTGTTGTTTAAAAACGTTTAGTTAGTTGAGCAATCATCAGAATATTGCATAGTTCAACAATTAACAAGGAATAATACTTACCCTCGGCAGTAATAAATGCATCAGGATCAACAATCTCAGTAGAAAAATAGCCTTGCATAACTTCTGTAAACCTCAGACCTCCATCTGCATTGACAGTTGATTTTTTTATAGTCTTATTACATGGATTCATCACTAATGGGTTGTCAAAATCGATCGGTTGCTTGGGCAACTCATAGTTAATACGCCAACCCCTATCTTCAGCAGCGCGTTCGCAGATAAGCTCGCTAAAAGCTGCAATGGTGTAAAACGGATTCACCCCAAGAGAACTAGGAATGACTGACGCGTCACAGACATACAGACCATCGTGCACTTCAGTGCCGAATTCAGCGTCACCTTTAAACACTTGCCCTTTATAGTTAACAACTCCTTCAGTCGAATTATCGGCCATAACACAGCCTCCGATTGGGTGCACAGTAACAAGCGATCTCCGGAATAGGCCAGTCCATACAGGCGAGGGTACATATGTGCCACCGATGGTGTGAGACGCATCTGAAAGTATTTTGTTGAGACGTTCGACTTGAACTGTCTTGCCAACATCAGGAAATGCAATATTGAGACGATCATCTTGGAGTTCTAATTTGCCTTGCTGGTCGTCATGTGACATTACTAAGAATGATTGGGTACGACTTAACGCTCTGTAATGATATCCAGGAATAAAATCCCTCAATGAGTGACGGAATTTTTGTAAAATCGACAGATTTGTTGAATCCCCGATGGTTTTACAGGCTATTTTCAAATGACCCGAGAAGATCTGTGCGAGAGCTCTCGGGCAGGAGCCTTCTTCGATTACATAGCCATCAAAGGCATTATCGTCTTTCTTGCGCATATCAATGATGCCAGTGATGCATGGTCCGACGGGAGCAGTTTTACCACCGTGACTACTCGTACCAATACCTGATTCGAGGATTAAAAAAAATGACAAAGATGGAAATTCGAATCAGTAAGGAGGAGGAGGGGGATAAAACGTATAATTATTACCGCATGCAGGGAAAAGTAAATTACCATTTACAAAGCGATCGCAGTCATAAGCAAATCCGAGAATCTGTCATAAAGATATTAAGCACCGAACTGAAGGACAAAAAAATATATATATACAATTGGAAATTTTTTTACTCACGTCACCATTACCACTAAAGCCTTTTCCTAATTCATTGCTTATGGATAATCCGTGTGTTTTTGATCTCAGCATTATTTCGTTAGTACCAAAAGTACCAGCAGCAACAAATACAATTTCGGCAGTAACAAACATGAGTGATTGGGAATTTTTATCCCCAAAATGCGGTCTTTCATCCTATGCCAAAAGAATGGATTGTAAGACTGATATCCCCAATAGACCATCACTCTCGTGAAAAAATGCTCATTCGAAAACTAATAGAGACGATTTTTATCTTACCCCTAGCCATTCATAATACACGACCCACAAACCAGTTTTCTCGTTCTTTTTAATTTTCTTCACTTGAACTTCGCAAAAAATCTCTGCACCATGATTCCATGCATCAGGTATATAATTCATCAATGTACTGTTCTTACTTCCATCGTTAATTCCAGTAGCGTCATTTCCACTAAGCGTAGATTGTTGTTGTCGCACACCAGCATTATTTATACGATTCTCAAAATGAACGGTGATTGGCGCACGATGGAAGTTTTTGGTAAATTCCGAACCCATCAGGCGCGCTTGCTCTTCAAAGACTTTGAGCTTGGGAAGTTCAGGCCAGTGAGATGGATAAACATTTGGTTCGAGCATCTGCCCGGCTCGATTGTAAGCTGGATAATGGACGATGGGGTATGTATAAGTGTTTTCATTCCGTAAACTAGTTCAGCATTATGCTTGATCGTAGAAATACCTTCTTTAATTTTTCCGTTATCGTAATCTTTATAAATTTCGGCAGGCCAAACATTTTTTTGTCGCCAGGTTAGCTCGTCTGCCTCGAGTGCAACATTTGCATTTATGAGCGATGTACCACCAAGACTAGTATCAAAATTTTCCAATTAATCATGGGTAATCTTTATCGTAGACTGGGGAATGTTTAAACATACTGTAACTTACCCGCAAGCGACACATGCTTTTTGATCTTCCCCAAGATAGAATTGATACATGCCAGTCTTTTTACCTGTATGGCCTATTTTTGAATGTATTTGTACATCTTTTAGACATTCTGCTAGTGTCTCTGGATATTCTCCTGGCCATCTTTCCTTCCCTGAATGCAAGAAAGAAATATTATACAATGCAATGATATGATATGATACATTTGCGTTGAATCATTCAATTACCTTTTTCCAACAAAGCAACACGTTTATTGGCGCGAGCCATCCGTGACGCCGCTATTGCACCTCCATAGCCAGACCCGATTACCACGACATCATAATGCTCTTGCATATGAGATACTGGCTTTGAGATATGCTTATACATTTTATTTAGTAGGATACGTGTATAGAAAAAAGGCTAAAACCAGATAATTGCTGCGTCAAACAATAGAACAATAGACGCTGTGTTATCGCTTGGGGGGGAAAAAATCTCCATTTCGATGTCCGCTTTTATCAAGAATTTTGAAAAGGGAAATGGGCGAGAAATTTAGTTTACAAATATTTGGAAAGGAATATAATTTGCGTATCAACCTGCATTCAAGAGTTATTTGGTGACCCATTTTAGAGGATTGGTCACACAAGAATTCCCAATAAGAAAACACGTTAAACAAAGTACTACATAAAGAAGCTGTCAGTGTAACTTTTTCACCTCAATGCGCTAATCAAAACAATATTAATGTTCCATTCAAGATGTATGAAATTGCCAATTATGTGTACTCTCTGAAACCTTTATTTGAACAGAGAATGCTTTAACGTTGATTCAGCCGATACAATGTTTGGAATTTCAATCACCTTCAATAACTTATTAAAAAATTGAGACATTGTGCAAACTTATCAAGACATACTGCAACAAAGCCAGGAGATGTGATGCGGGGACAATACCAACAGTGACTTTTTTTTGCGTCTGCAATTTGTGCACTTTCGTTATTGATGCACTCACTGTTCTTTGTGTTACCAGCCTTATTCATACAGTTAAAATGATGATAGAATATGCGATACGAATCAACGTTTATCATAAACAAAACCGTCATCGACAAGGTATTTGCTCATAATCTGTATAAGCACTAACGTTTTTCATTTGTCAGCCAAACAACGTTATTTTTCAATGACTATTATTAATAACGCATGAATGCTATAAAGCCAATGGTATAATATGATAACAGATGTTGAATGCCTAGTATTACCGATGACTAAAGTTTGTTTAATTGTGTTTCTCGGTTATTTCACAATGTTCGGCATCCTTTGAGTACAATAGCTACGTACAACAATATGTCCAAACAGCCCATGCTGAAACAAAAAAATGCCAAGAGTTCTGTACATGTGTTATGGGTAAGAAAGTAGACAATCAAATTTTCGTAGTAAAAATACTTACTTAACCGTATATAGTATCTAACTTCCTTAGAAAGTTTATTTGATTGTAGAGCGGCAAATAATTATGAATACCCCAAGTGTCTATGTCTGTAATACATACGAAAAGTTTGAGTACTCTGTTTAATTGGTCTGTGTTATTACCTAACCTTTATTGAGAAGTAAGGTCTTTTTCTCGCATGTTTGGATGTAAAAGATTGCTTTCTGTGTGACAATATGGTCGAATGATCTTTTAATATTGCGGTTTATAGTTTTCCGGTAAGTCGCACAGCTACAACGCAATATCCGATGACGGTATGACATTCGTTGAGAACCGTACAAAGAAGGTATACTATTACAAGTATGTATACTATTTTAAAATTCACACTGACTTGTGTCTTTGCTTTATATCTTTCTCCAATTACTTTCCCAAATAATTATAACCCTTGTCCAAGCGTTCACCAAGTTATGACATTACAACAAACGTTGAATTTAGCGCGTTTGCAATTTATTCACCAAGTGTACAAGTAACGGCCCACCAGAATAATTATTAATTGTTGTCCGATAATAATACCATATAGAAGTAAATTAAAATGTCGTTGATGAGAATAGACGTATTTTTGGTCGCCAACATTGCAAATATGCTAAACAAATAGAAAAAGTCAATGTTTACGCTAGATTACTTTTTGCCAGTAGTAAGCGATACATAGACTCCATGTGAATTTTCTACATAAAGTTTTTGCGCGAGTGCAATTAGCGGTTATTTAAGAGTATGGATTTAGGGAATCTGCACAGTTGATATGTTGTATCATACTTTATTAGCTGTTCGAAATACTGACAAATTTGTTTGTCATATTGTATCAGCTTATATTTGTCATTTTCTTGTTGAATTAAAAATAATTGTATTTGATTTTCAATCTTTTTAATGCAATATTTGGTACTGTAAAAATAAACAAACGAATAAATCTTATTCTTTGGAGAGCGATAATAAAAATAATTTTATTAAAGAATAAATTGTGGTAGAATATTGAGCAACTGATTAATAATAAGTCTATTACCGTATACTACCGTGAATAAGCACCCACCCTTATCATAGTGAGGGGTGCTTATTCACGATAGGATCGGCAACCCTTATCGACAAATTGTGCACATACAGACAGAAACCACAAGTCGTATGGTTGAATCCTTCGTCAAAACCACACACCAGTCGTCAAATTGTATGATCTAGCACAAACTTGTTTGATAACTCAACTCATCAAGCAATAAATGCATAGTAACAATGGTGATAGTGAACAGTACATTGCTTTTCTACCATTCTGCTTATCGCTTAAACCAAATCATCTACAAGGGTTGGTAGTAGCTACCGCTAAATCGAAAGCGCAGTGTTGTTAATTTTCACACGATCTGTCCGTATTTTAGCCCAAATTTGGCTGACAAGTTGGCTGGTAGATGTGTGTGTCGCACCACCTTAAGCTTAAACCGAGATGGTTAAGTCTTGAATATCATCCACCGAATGGGAAAATTTTACTAACGTATTCAGTAACTCAAAGCATTCTTTCACAATGCCTAATGTCAGTCGGGCGCTATTTCATTCCGGATGGATTTGTCAGATTGGTAAAATTGTGTCCGTTCCAATTTAAACATATGCAATTGGGAATAGTAAAGATAACATTACATTAACCGTACAAACAGCTAGATTGCTATGAATATATGCTATTCTGACTTTACTTTGGGTTTAGCGCATGCTACACCTTGTCTATTTTCGATAATTGCTCACTTGTTTTTATACAAAATTTCCATCAAATTAATAATACAATATAAATAAGCTTATGACTACTGTAAATACTAAGGCCATGTGATATTGTGGATAGTAATAGTAACCCATTTCCCCTACATACTATACCCGGAACAAGAAATTTTGGTGATGGAGACTGTCATTTCAAGTACCATATTTCTCTGACTCAAGTACTCCGGATCTTTTGCAAATCAGGCCTCAAAACTTGCTGAGGGGTATTTTGCTTCGCGCGGGGTAATTTAGTCAGAAATGCGGCAAAAATAATGATAGTAATACAAATAGCTCTAAACTGTTACTCTTCATTTTCGTTATTCAAATTAAAATATCGCTTAACAAGTTGAGTATGCTGACTTGATGTATAGCTGGGCAAACATTGTCATTGTTCGTGTTAGTTGGCACAAAATTAGGATCAATGAAATCAAGATCTGTCAACTCGAGTGTAGTAAATCTTCTGTATTTTCCTCGCTGATTTGATTTTATTCTGGTCACAATGGCTTTCTTATATGCCAAAGGTAAAGTTGAATATTAGCATTTGGCCAAACAATTATTGCTGCATTTATCTGAGAAAAGTCATTGTCAGAAAACACGTAATCCGGCGAAAGTCTGAGATTTTTGAATTTAGAAAAAAATCAAGATCGTTGTTTTTCCCATATCAAGATTATTGCTGCGCAAATCCTGTGCCTTGATACTGGCCAATTATTGCATATAATTCAAAACGTCCTTTAGCCGTCTTGTACGTTGCATCTACGTGTATTTCTTTAACCATTTCCTTCAAATATGTAAAGCATGGCGAAAAAAATGCTATTGCTGTCAGATCCCCCGTATGTAATGACATTAATAAAACACAACCTTTTTCTTTAAATCGTTCTTCAAGAAGAAGTATCGCAGACTGTACAGGATTTTGGTATGTTTTTTTCAGTAACCACGCTCCACCAATAATAGATCTGTTTATTAGTTATGTCTCTGAGATCGAAAAGTGTTGAAAGGCGAGTGCGCAGTTGTAATGAATCCAAATGAAAATTTTTCTGAATTTCGCTGACTACTTTTGGAGGGACACTGCCCGTTGCCGAAGGCTTTTCGTGCTGTAAAAGATGTTTAATCTGAATCTTGGCCTTACACGTCTCCATATTAATGCAAAGCATAACGTTCGAATCTTTGCATCCGCTTTTGATTAGAGTCTTCGTAATTATTAAACATCAAAGATTGACTGCAAAGATAATATATCGTGCCAACTTTCTCTGGGTTTTGTACTGAGGGATTAATTTTCCAGAAACTATAAAACGTTTAATTATTCTGCTTTACAATATTAAAAAAACTATAAATATTTTGAATCAACGTACAGTACCTCCACTTGTACCCGTCCGCATTTTCAATTTCCTCTTTCATTTGTTCAAGCTCCTTAAAAGTATCCATATCTACAAAATCTCCACAACCCAAGACAAATAATCTATATCAATTTCAGAAAATTTAGTAATAATTTGAGCTGCTGTGGTCTTGAATCATGTCCGTGCTACTTTCATTGGTCGATACATTCAAATTCGATACAACTAATTGAGCCAAATTCAAACATTCTTGTTGAAATATCCTAGTTTGGAAGATGTAAAGGAATTAGCGAAGAAGTGATAAAAAAACTCAATTCAAAAATTAAAATTAAACATCCAGATTATTCCGATGACGAATTTTCAGATTCTGATCTGCCCCCACTTATTTCAGATTATTCCGATGATGATTTCTCGGTTTTTGATCTACCTCCACTTATTCGAGATCCATTAAGGGTATCTCGAAGAGTTATCTTTACCGGTGGACCTAATAGAATGGTTTCAACTGATACATTAAATGTAACAGATCTTATTTCTGCAATTGGAGTATCATCAGAATTGACTGATTCAGAACGAATTAATTTATTAAATAGTCTTGCTCGAGCCATTGATCAAGGATTACATCGATCGTGGCAAGGGCTTTAGGCAGATAATTAACTATTAGTTATTTTTTCGATTAATCTCCTAACTATTTGTATACACAGAAAAGAAATATTATCCGATATATACTAATTAGCAATGCCTAATTTACTTGATCTTCTTCCACCAAAATTAATACCATTCATAACAAAGTATCTTCCGATCCAAGATCTTAAAAATTGCTGTAGTCTAGATATTATATGGAAAACCAAAGCGATTAGAGAA